CCTCACTACTCTCACCATCACTCCCTCCATCATTCTTTGCACAGCTTCACTAGTCTCACCAGCATGCTGTCTCTCCTCTTCATCGTCATCTTCAGACCCACTAACAATTGATGCGAGTGTCTCAGCAGGAGCCTTTCCTTTTCTCTTCCCATCTGCCTCTCTTGGAATGTGCACCTTCAACAGCTCCTCATCTACCATATTCATCAGCCTCTGATGGCTTTCTTCTATCCTCTTCATTAATCGTGCACGCAACTGCTTCAGCTCCTGCATGACAATGGCGTTTATCAATTTACTAGCAACATAATTATACCACATCATGATCTCACTATTGCAGATGACAAGCTCACTTTACCCAATGACAAGTTAAATATTATAAATAACAACTTCAGTATATGAAATTACAAGCTTACTACACTATAACAAATTACAACCTCTCCCTATTGCGAATAACAAGTTCATCAGTAGTATAAATAACAACTTTGGTATGTCAGATAACAACTTTACTATATCAAATGACTAGTTCAGTTTAGCCAATCACAACTAATAAATTATAATTAGCAACTTTGATACATCAAATAACAACTACATTGTAACAAATGACAGGTTCACTTGACCACATCACAACTCAGGCATAATCAATAACAACTTTATCAAATAACAACCCAAACCTGAACTTTACCGAATGACAAGTTCACATTACCCAATCACAACTTTGGTACCGTTTTTAACAGGTTAAGTTTATCAAGTAACAATGTCAACTATAACAAATGACAACTTCACTAAACCTAATCACAACCTAAGTTTTATATATACCAAGTCAATTTATCAAATGACAACGTAACTATCACAAACAAGAAGTTCACCAAGAATATCACTCTACCAAAGATATACATACCGGGTCCAGAGAATCAACATTTATCCTCTCGTCTTTGCCAGACACAACATCACTCCCTTTCTCACCATACAACAGCCCCCTAACGCTCTTCCTCTCAGTATTTGCCAATTCTTTGATCTTCTCATCTGTCCAGTATTGGATAGCACTGGTGGAGCCTCGCTGTGAACCTTGAATGAGGTTAAAATGCTCACAAAAAAAAAGCTGCAACACCACATATCATCACCAATTACATTGTTCATATTGCCAATAAAGTATTGCACAGTGAGAAACAAAATAGTCATACCAGAAGCAAGTATACGCAGCCACCAACAGTACTGCTCCCCTGCCCATCATTACCCTGTCTATACAGCTTCACAAAGTCAGCCATTTCTTTCCATAGGTCCTCCATAACATGTGTTGCCCAATCATACTTTCCAAAGTCATCCATCGTGGAACGCATGACTCTCACCAGCCGCTCACTCACTTCTGAGCTAGATGACGGACATAGAAAGGTACCCAGCGTGTATAGGACAAACAAGAATTCAAATATGTGATCTTCCTCCCCAGAAATAATGTCATCTAGTATTTTGCTGAATGGCACTCTCCGATACTGATTCTTCAAGTTCTTGTACATTTCATCATCCTCCGAAACTTCAATTTTAATCTTCTCCCCACCATGGCGTATTCCTAGGAGCTTGTCAACATGTTTTGCTCCTATTTCCTCAGTTTTCCCCCGTATTGTAAATTGATGTGTTGGTGGGTCATATGATCTTAGCATAGTCACAAGGAGATCGCGGGGAAGTCTCTTCAATCCAACCTTCAACAAGCTTCCAAATCCTATCCTCTCCACCCTATCCCTTAACTCATCATTATTATTCACAAAGTGCAGTAATTTCTTAAAACCTTTCAAGGACACTCGGGTTAAAAATGATGGTACATATTTCTTTTTCTTCTCCTCTTCAATCTTTTCTGGCCTTCTTTTCTTCGCCTCCTCTGTGTACCTCTTCCTCTCCTCATCAGACAAAGCTCTCCATGCCTTTGACACAGCGTCTCTTTTTTGTTTGCCTCTGATATCACTATCACCTAATGTTGCCAAATACTCCCTTCTGAATAGCAACCAGCCATTGTGTGCCGGCTTTGATCCGGAGGCTCCCTCAGATGCCATGTCCTTTTTCCTGCAAAATATTCAACATACAATAGTTCACTAACACAACTTATTAACTGACTAACAACAATTCTGTCAATACTCGTTCTGTCAATCAAACGCCTATGATAAACTTGTTATTCTCTCTACAAAAGTTGTCAATTCTTTAAGCTCAACTTGTTATTCCCACATACTTATCATAATTGTTATTTCTGATCATACACTAGTAGTTTAACTTGTCATTTGAAATGATAAACTTGTCTTATTGTCATACTCAGCTTTGTTATTCAAACAAGTCATTTCCTATTATCAAATTCTTACTTCCGCATACAAATCTTGTTATTCACTGTTATAACCTTGTTATTTCCCATTACCAACTTGTCAGTTTCGCATTGACATCTTCTGATTCCCAATTAATCAACTTGTCATTTCCTATTCTTAAATTATCATTTTCGTTACAGAACTTATCAAATCCCACCGTCCACCTTCTCATTTATAACAAAACACACTTAGTACCTCTTCAATTAAATTTACCCTTGACTATATCCTATGTCGTTATTTTCCCTACTATTATTGTCATCTACGAAACTGATATTGTCATTCCCTCCCCACATAAATACCATTCCCACAGGTTATTTAACAGAAAAAACCTATATTTTTCTGTTAAATAACATTCTTCATCACTCAATCAAAATTTGGGTACTTCTACTTTCCTACCCTAAACTCTTTTACTCTCACCAATCATTCGCACATTCTTGCAGCAACCAATCCAAACAAAATTAGCCAACAAACTTACTACAATCAATCGCCCAACGTAGCTGCTAACTCTGATCACCTAAAGCGATTGCTGCCGCACTATTCAACGATGCCTTCGACTTCTCTGAACCCTTCCACAATGCCGATAAACCACTGCTTTGTTCACCTTTGTCACAGCAAATATGCTCTTCACCGTCTCAACACTCCTCTCCACACTACTCTTACGGCAAAATGGCAGTACGCAGGTGCGCGAAAATGGAGACAATAGGGAGAATGTAGAGAACAGTGGGAAGTTGTCGATAGTGGGGGGGACTACGTGCCGCGGGTTCAGCAGGTTCAAATCACTGAGGGGCAATTTTGTCTTTTTACCAACATTTGCTATTTGCAATTTGAAACCGGGTCCCTCATGGTAATTTGGCATATTCAGGTGACCATAGAGTGATTTTGCTAATTCGAGGGTCTTTATTTGTGATTTCCCCTAAAAAAAATGTCAATCAAGTCATCTTCTTGCTTTTTTTTTTCTGTTCTATTATTTTCCAATGAAATCATCGAAAACAAATCAGCAGTTAGCTGTGATGCAGTGGATAAGATTGAAAAGTATTAAAATAAAAAGAAGTATCTCAGCCCCTTGACCAAAAGGCACAGCATAGAATGATAGAATAGAAGACAAGAAGAGATTATGGCGACCTCAAGAAATCTAAATCAAAATGATTAAAGCATTTGGGATGCTTTTATTATTATCAAGTAAGTAACCTGTGACGTTCATGGTGGTGGTCCTCTTGTATGGAATGTGATTAGTTGTCCCCCAAAATAATCAAAAGAATGTGATTGCATTTTAATATTTTATATTTCCATCTTCTATTAAAATGAGTCGTTTAAAAATAAATTTCGCAAAATGATATCAGGCCTATTTGGGATAGCATTTAAAAATATTTATAAGCACGTTTTATATTAACCGAGATAAAACTCTTTTCATATATTTACCTCATGTTCTCATGTTCTATAAGTTACGATTAAGAAATTATTTATAATCAAAGGTTACAAGAAACTATGGCCATTGCTCTTTTTTCGGAACTTGTAATTGTAATTTTGGCTATGAAACTATGAATTTGAATTTGGCCCATGTAAATTATGGAAACTTATTTTTGTTAATTATTTAAAATTTCTTGAATTTTAATGATGTTATATATTTTATTTTTTAAAAAACAAACAAAAAGTGCGCTAATTTTAATTTAATTTTGGTTTAGCTAGATTTAATTATTTTCTACCATTTTATTTCTATTTTTATTTTTCAAATTAGAGGAGTTTAAACATTTGATTTCTGCTCAAGTTGTACCTTTAGCAACTATGGCCAAAAGTGGCTCACTACTATAGGAATTCACGATTCTATTTGAGGTGCAGTGGAGAAAAAAATTAAATGTTATAAGCAACTAAGATATAACGATTTACAACACAAATTAGATAATTTGCAACACACATGTGAGAATTCACAACTCTATTTGAGATAGTGGAGAGAAAAATAAAATGTCAATGGTTATGAATTTCCGTATACTTTTTGAAAGTTGCCTAATTTATGTTGTGAATCATTTTATTTCAGTTTTTCATATGTAACTCTTGACATCTAATTTTTCTCTTCATTGACAAATCACTTAATTTGTATTGTAAATTGTCTTATTTTAGTTGTTCATGCATATTTGAACATTTATATTTGTTTCGTTATATATATTTTTCTTTCCATTATACAATTAAATTGATTGAGTGGTTTGGTGGTTACAATTTTTTAAGTATGTCAAGGGGTTATGAGTTCAAGCAATCCCTTTGGCTATCTTAGTTTTTTAATAAAAAAAAATCCTTCAACCATTAGACTGGTGATCAGCCATGTGAGGTCAGAGTTCCAACAACTAGTCATTAGAAATCCGATAAGATTGATTTATTTTTAATAAATAAAATTATACAAGTGTATAATTATATTTTTACTTATAACATTTAATTTTACTTTAGTCAAACGGGGTGAAATAATGTTTCAAAATGTTACGGGTTGTTTGAAATTAAATTGCTTAATTGAAACTCTCCCCAAAAAAATTGATTACCCAGCGAGACCTGCGAGTCGTGCAATTTGGTATTCTCTCACAACCAATTAACCAACGTCTCTGATCGGTATTCTCTCTCCTCTCTAAAGACCAGAAGCCTCAGCCTTACCAGCGCCCAGCTTTTCTTTTGGTCATTCCTCGTACTCCTCTTTTGCTGCTGCCGCTGCCGCTGTCTGCACGACTCGTCTGGCCCCCCTCTGAGGTAAAATCCCTCCTTTCTCCTTTTCTTTCCCTCTTTCATCTTCTACTTGCTGAAATATTCTTCCTGTTTGGACCCATTTCTCTTTTCAACCACCCCTTGAATTTTCCTTGGAGCTTATTGTTGCCAATTAAGTTCTCTGATGGAGACTTGCCGCTGTTTTCCTACTCTTTCTTTCTTAGTTTTGTGTTTGGTGAAATTTATCAATCGATTTCTTGTTTTCTTAATCTCTTCGTCTGGAATGCTTTGAAGTCTTTTCCTGTGTATCTCATGGTTCACGTGCAGTGGATTCTCTCAGTGTATAATTGGCTCTATGGGATGCAAAGGTTTTTAATTCTTGAAGAAGGATAATGAAAAGAGGGACTTTGAACACTTTTTAGGACCAAAGCTCGAGTTTTTGCGGGGTATTGGAAGATAGATGACAATGGATCGGGGTCTTTGGAATTTTACCGATGCCAGAAGGGAACAGAAACCGGAGAATCGATCTGTACCGATTCTCCAGCAGAATCAGGGTTTTGAAAAGGCTTTCTTTGCTCACAGAAGGGAATTTCATTTCCTGCAATCTGATCAATTACCAACCAATACACCTTCTTCCTCTACCGTGACCAACGACAACGAGGAGCAATCTCCGGAAGATTGTGATTTTTCTGATACTGTTTTGAGTTACATAAATCAGATCCTGATGGAAGAAGACATGGAAGATAAGACGTGCATGCTTCAAGATTCTTTGGATCTTCAAGCAGCTGAAAAATCATTCTATGAAGCACTGGGCGAAAAATATCCACCTTCACCTGCACAAAACCATCCAAGTCATATGATCAATGAAAATGATGGAGGCATGGGAAATAATTTCCCCAGAAATTACAGTGATTATCACAGTAATAACTATGGTAATTTCAACGGAACTTTCATTCGTCAGTCCTTGTCTCAAAGTCCTAGTGAGTTTCCCTTGCAACGTATCCGAGGTAATGGTATTTCTCAGCCATCTTACAGCTCTTCAAGCAGTGTTGTAAGCGGTGTGGAAGGGCCTGTGGATTCTCCAAGCAGTATACTTCAGGTTCCGGATCCGAACAGCGAGAGCCAATCGATTTCACAATTTAAAAAAGGTGTTGAGGAGGCTAGTAGGTTTCTTCCAAATGGAAACAAGCTGTTTGCTGATTTAGGTGTGTTTAATTTATCACCAGAAGAACCAAAAACAAGAACTCATGAGATATCAGCCAAGGTGGAGAAAGATGGAGGGGATGATATTCATGGTGGGTCAAAGGTAAGAAGGCAGCCGCACAGGGGAGAGGAAGATGATGAAGAAAAGAGTAGCAAGCAAGCAGCAGTTTATACAGAACCAACACTACGTTCTGTGATGTTTGATCTGGTGCTTCTTCATACTGATGGGGAAGGTAAGAACCATTACACTGCTCGTCGTGAAGCTTTGCAGAACAAGACCATGACGGCAGTGATGGCAAATGGTCAGGCAAAAACTCCAAAGTCTGGGAGGGGGCGTGGGAAGAAACAAAATGGGAGAAAAGCAGTGGTGGATTTGAGAACACTTCTGATTCTGTGTGCACAAGCTGTTGCAGCAGATGATCATAAGAATGCACAGGAGTTGCTAAAGCAGATCAGGCAGCACTCAAATCCTTTTGGGGACGGAAATCAAAGGTTGGCACATGTGTTTGCTGATGGGCTCGATGCACGCCTGGCCGGCACCGGTAGCCAGATTTATAAGGGACTCATCAGTAAGAAAAGGTCAGCCGCTGATCTACTGAAAGCCTATCATCTCTACCTTGCCGCATGCCCTTTTAGGAAGATATCTAATTTTTTGTCAAATGGCACAATAAGGACAGCTTGTGCGAGTTCACCGAGGGTCCATATTATAGATTTTGGTATTCTTTACGGTTTCCAGTGGCCAACTTCCATACAGAGACTGGTAATAAGCACAGGAGGGCGACCACCAAAAATTCGAATAACAGGAATAGAATTTCCACAACCCGGTTTTAGGCCAGCCGAGAGAATAGAAGAAACAGGAAGACGGTTAGCAGATTATGCAAAATCTTTCAATGTTCAATTTGAGTATGTTGCCATAGCAAAGAAATGGGAAACTATCAAGCTTGAGGAACTCAAGATTGATAGGGACGAGTTCCTGGTTGTTAACTGTTTATACAGAGCAAAGAACTTGCTAGATGAATCTGTGTCAGTGGAGAGTCCTAGGAATGCTTTCCTGAATCTGATAAGAAAGATCAATCCTGATATATTCATTCACGGCATCATCAACGGGGCCTTCAACGCGCCTTTCTTTGTCACCAGGTTTAGGGAAGCTTTGTTTCACTACTCATCACTGTTTGATATGCTGGAGACAATCGTGCCACGAGAGGACTGGGAGAGAATGCTGATCGAGAAGGAGATATTCGGGAGAGAAGCTTTGAACGTGATAGCGTGCGAGGGATGCGAGAGATCAGAGAGACCGGAGACATATAAGCAGTGGCAGGCTCGTATTCTGAGAGCAGGGTTTACACAGATTCCTTTTGCTCGAGATCTAGTGCGGAGGGCGATGGATAAAGTAAAGGGTAGCTACCACAAGGATTTTGTCATCGATGAAGACGGCAAGTGGGTGTTACAAGGTTGGAAGGGACGAATCATCTATGCACTTTCTTGTTGGAGGCCTTCCTGACAAATCCGGATAGATTTAGGTTGTCTGATGGTGTTCATGACTGAATAGGTTGCATCCATTTTGGTCGACAGTTGTGTCTGTTGAGTAAAGCATCAGTTACTGAGTAACCTTTTGACAAAATACGCTCGGTTCCACTGACGGTTACAACCTTTGGCCAAAATATGTGAAGAGAAGTTTGTAGTTAGAGTAGCTGATTCAATGAAGATGTTCGTTTGTAATTTTCATCTTTCGAAATCAAATGTAATTTTCTGATCAAAATCTTCTCTCAATTTCGGTCTCGTGCAGTTTGGCTGTGTTTAAGCTTGGTTGCCTTTGTACCAAAAAAATAATATAATATCTTTAATATAAGACCTAATTGACTAATTTGAGTAGATTGGAGATGTTACTTAATTTAGTTAATTTGTAAAACATCATAAACATCTTTTTTAATTCTTTTTTTAATTCTCTTAATTGATTATTATTGAGAAAATATCAATAATAAAGTTAATTTAAAAAATAAATTGATAAATATACGAATTATGTCTTATATATAAGATTAACATTAACTCTAATTAGGCCCTATATTAAGGCCAAGAAGAGTATTTATTATGCTTGGTTTGGTTGGAGGGAAAAAAACTGGAGAAAAATAAGAAGAGAATACTATGATTGAAACTTTCAAATATAATAAAAAAAATTATTAATTTAATAATTTTTTCTCTCAGTATTCTTTCCTCACAGATTGAGGTTGACATCGCGCTCTATTTTTATAGGTCTAGAATTCTTTTTTTTTTTTTTCAAACGAGTTTAGCTTATAACCAGGACTGATGAAAAGGGCTATCTTGTTATCGTTTCAACTTACTTACTATATTAAAAAAATGTCAATCAAATCATCTTTTTTTTTTTTGTTCTATTATTTTCCAATGAAATCATCGAAAACAAATTAGCAGTTAGCTGTGATGCAGTGGATAAGATTGAAAAGTATTAAAATAAAAAGAAGTATCTCAGCCCCTTGACCAAAAGGCACAGCATAGAATGATAGAACAGAAGACAAGAAGAGATTATGGCGACCTCAAGAAATCTAAATCAAAATGACTAAAGCATTCGGGATGCTTTTATTATTATCAAGTAAGTAACCTGTGACGTTCATGGTGGTGGTCCTCTTGTATGGAATGTGATTAGTTGTCCCCCAAAATAATCAAAAGAATGTGATTGCATTTTAATATTTTATATTTCCATCTTCTATTAAAATGAGTCGTTTAAAAATAAATTTCGCAAAATGATATCAGGTCTATTTGGGATAGCATTTAAAAATATTTATAAGCACGTTTTATATTAACCGAGATAAAACTCTTTTCATATATTTACCTCATGTTCTATAAGTTACGATTAAGAAATTATTTATAATCAAAGGTTACAAGAAACTATGGCCATTGCTCTTTTCTTCGAACTTGTAATTGTAATTTTGGCTATGAAACCATGAATTTGAATTTGGCCCATGTAAATTACGGAAACTTATTTTTGTTAATTATATAAAATTTCTTGAATTTTAATGATATTATATATTTTATTTTAAAAAAAAAACAAAAAGTGCGCTAATTTTAATTTAATTTTGGTTTAGCTAGATTTAATTATTCTCTACAATTTTATTTCCATTTTTATTTTTCACATTAGAGGAGTTTAAACATTTGATTTGCTCAAGTTGTACCTTAAGCAACTATGGCCAAAAGTGGCTCACTACATATTTTTGTAACCATATTTGTGGGTAATAATTCCCCAGTCATTTCTATTTTACTAGGTAATACAGATATATATTATAAAAAAAAACATTTTGTCACATTTTACTTCGATTGGCTAGGTTTATAATTCTACCAATAAAAATTATCTAATTTAATCATTTCTTGTTAAAAGGAGGGATGTATGGATAAAAGGGATACTGTTCAAGGAATAGGTTGGCGCAAAACTGCGTACGAAGGGAAAAATACATGAGTTTTGTGACAAATGCTAACAAAGTGTTGAATTGAGTTCATGATTAAGTATCACAAGTAATTAAAAGTTTATGATGCAAAGTTTGAATTAATTGATTAATCAGTAATCCATCCTACATTTCCATAACACGTTGATGAGTGTTCTTGCTTAAAAATCAAGCACTATGATTAGTGGGCAATTATTGACTATGGATTCCCTAAACTTCTAGAAACATGCCAATCTTTCCGGCTCTTATATTTGTCCGTCATTTCACTATTTTCAATTATTGGCCCTTTGAACTAATGAAGCACTCCCAATCATCCATATCAATTAATAAAAATAAAATTCGTAACAGACCATACTATTCATAATTGTAATACGGGTTAATATAATTTTTTGTCTTTAAAATTTGATTCCATTTTGATTTTAGTCCATAAAATTTTAAACTTGTAGTTTTTATCTTTAGAATTTAATCCGTCTTAAAATGTTAACCGGTGTAATGATGTTCAAATCTATTAAAATATCATAAATAATATTAAAGTAATGACGTAGACTTCTCAGAAGATACTTAGTTAGATCTTATGTGAATAATAGATGATGAAAAAAGAAGATATCCTCAAAACAAAGCTATTGAGCCCCCCATTTTTTTCTTCCTCCCTATTCGTTTCTAAAAATGTTCATTGTATTCTGTTATTCACTATATTAGTCACACAAAATCCAGTTAGACATCACCTGATGAGTTTATATTACCACTTTTAATATCACTGATAACACTTTAGCAAATTTTAATACAGTTGTACCTTCAAGGACTAGTAATATAAAACAAACTAGATTTTAAGGACTAAAATTATGGGTTCAAAACAACCATTCATAAAACAAAAATTATATTAGCCCAAATAAATAATAAGCGTTGTCTCTCAAATTCTATGCAAAATAGATAATATAGTCGACGTATATAATATGATTCAAGCATCAGTGCATCTTTGTTCCTTTCGTTCATAGAGGAAAAAAATCATGTCCCAAGAAGAAAAATCAAAACTTGAGAGCGTACAAACCAAATCATTTTGTTAAGGTTAAAACAATCTTTTAGCAGCGCGCGAATGATGAAGCAAACATATCTTGCTTGAGGTAGTTCTAGTGACAACAGAATCCATCACAAAGGAACTTTGAGAATAGGATGATATAGATTGAGGACATGGCAGATGAACTTGAAAATCAAAAGCGAGTGGTGATCTGAGAAAACAAAGCCTTGAAGTCCTTTGTGGGTGCACCTGTTCCCTCTGGTTTTGATGCCAAGTCAAATGCCTTGAATTTAGCCTCCTCAAACTTCAGTGCCTGTTCAACCAAATGAGACAACAAATCAATATCTGACGCAGCCATGACAGATTTTTTCCCCCCTTCAATAGATTCGATTTATTGAACAATATACACAAATCAGAAAGAAAACTGAAAAGAAAAGGTGACGCCTGTTTCATTTTGTTTTTGTTTGTGAAAAAAGTAGGTAAACACAATTGTCCAAAGACGTCTTAAAGCAAGACAATTTAAGTTCAAGCCCCTGCCCCATCATATAAAGAAGGTACCTTGTTCATGCTTTTGCGTGAGAAAACAGAAAATAAGAAGAAAGAAAAACTCCGTGTGCCTTTTGTTTCTAGTATTTTCAGTTGCTGAAAGTAGAAATAGATTTTGAAAAACATCACCAAAGAACTGTGTTCAGAATCAAGAACCAGATGCTCACAACTTTTCTTTCTTAGGGGAGTAGAGGAGTATGTATCTCATTATCTCACTGGTTTCCAAATAAAATATACCTGAATGCAGACTTCTGCAACATCAGCTCTAGGTATGGCTCTGGTATCTGTCTGAAGAAGCTCATCATCCTTCCCTGTGATTAGTTCTCGAAGACCACCTTCCTTATCTTGCAAGCCACCAGCTCTGATTGCAAATAGAATGTGAGAATAGATAAGTATGAAAGCAGAAACAATCTGACTATTATCTTGCAAGCCACCAGCTCTGATTGCAAATAGAATGTGAGAATAGATAAGTATGAAAGCAGAAACAACCTGACTAAAACAAAAACAAGACTTGGCAACCAGAAGATGAGGCATGAATGTGGCACGTATAAAACCAAATGAGAGGTTGAATGATGTTGCCAAACATCATATAAAGTTAAATACACACCTAGAAATATATTCCCACCAATTGCAAAAGCCTTATCCCTAAATTGTTCAGTCTTTTCAGATAGTAGCAGCACATTAAGCAACAACTTTAGTCATACTTCTTATTTTCATTTGTGCAAATAACCCTCGCATTTTTAAGCTAGAATTCAACCAACCTTCGACCTAAAAGGACAGTAAAGTGAAATACATACACAATTTCTTTTCAGTGTAGTTAGAATCTCACTTCGAATCGTGCAATTCGAGACAAAGTAGCCAACGAGAGATTCAAATCTCTCATTATATCTTTTTGTGGCCTAAATCATGCAATTCACACTGGAATCATATGATCCAGGAAATGTCGAGTCATGCCACAACCTGACACACAAAAACTTTTTTCATTTTTTCTGATTTTATTTTGGTTATTTTTAGAAGGTAATCTGCCATATAAATACTCCGTAATGCATTTATCACTTTCAGCTAATCAAATATTAATCAAAACCCAAATTTTTTATTCCCTAATTGATTTTGGAGACTATTTGCCATTGAAATTTGATATGTATGGGCTCTTTTGATTTTTTGGGAAGTGTATCTACAAACCCTAATTTCTTATGATTCATGATCGATTCAAAATCAGGAAAATAGGCTTTTCGATTCACAATTCGTATCCTGATCTTATAACTTGTTTCTTTTAGCTAACACATGCCAAAGAGATCAACTTTCCAATACAAAATGACACTTCCATTAAAAACGACAGAACCTAGAAGAACTGTTTGTTTCTGCATCAACAGAAAATTATGCACCTTATAATTGTGTATGGAATACCGGAATCAGCCAGATACTGCTCCGCCTTTCTCTTCCAAACCTGCATCAAATATAAACAAACGAACTATTTTTTAACACAAGGGAAACAAATATATTAATACATGGAAGAAAAGAAATGCAATATCTCAATAAACTTGGTTTTCTAAAATGAGGAGCACGCTTATTCATACAAAAGCAAGAGATGAATGCAACAAAAGGAGGTAATTTATTGAGTTAGAGAGAAGTTGGTACGCACCAGTATATTTCCATTACCCAATTTGTTCAAAGGATGATCTGGATTCGTGCCACCCATAGACCCAACCAACACAATCTGCTTCACTCCGGCAGCCTTAGCTGCTCAAATAGAAAATATAATTTCAACATCACAAGCATCAATGAGTTTGTAACTTTGTACTAGAATTCAAGTAAAGGAAGAAGATTTTCATACCAGCATCTATTTGATTTTTCTGCCCAATCCAGTCAACCTACTATGCAAAAATTTCGGTATAACATCAGCTGAGCCAGATAAACATCATTAACTACAATGCAACATAGGAACTATGTAACAGTACCTGTTCAGGGTACGCCCCATCATCAAAATAAAACTCAGGCCTTCCACCTTTGGTTGGATCAAAGCCTGGCTTCATTAGGGGAACAGCACTTGTGAGAATTATGAGAGCATCTATACCTTCGATTGCAGGAACAATACTTCCAACATCTCTTATATCTCCGATAAAAACATCATCTGCACCACCAATTTTCTGTTTACTTTCTTCTGTTCTAACTAGACCTCTGGCAACATGTTGGTCTGACCTCTCCTTTAATTTCCTATGGACTATTTGACCTGAAAAGTAACCAACGAAAGAACAGAAAGAATTATCAGTTGATGACCAAGGCCAATGCATATGAAATCTGAAAAACCAAATGACCATTTATCCTTATGGCTTACTCCGCTTGATCAGGGGCAGTGGTCTATCTGGACAATGGCACTAAAGTGAATATGGACTATAGCCACCCAAGAACCGGTACAAAGGCATTTGATTTTTCAATTCGTATGTGAGGCTCAGAAAGCATATCTAATATGAAAAAGATTCACTCCCTGAATTAAAGTAGAGTTTTCTAAGGAATTACCGAACTTAAAGTCATCCAATTCTAATCCACTTCAATCCGTTTTGAAGTGTACCTACTTCATTCAGTATACATATCAGAACGTTGAGCTTTATGCTTCTTTAGTAACACCATTTTTTTTTTTAATTATTAAGGCGCGAATATAAAAGTGCGTCTAAAAGTTAGAAGAAACAAACTATAGAATTCTATGCAATAAATCCCAAGTTCACAAGCTGAACAACCCGGCAACTACTAAATCCCGATTAAAAGGCATCAACTTTCCCCTAGCCCGATCCTCATGTTTCGCAAAACCTCACACAGCCACAGCGCATGAGTTTTAACCCGTACCCACCATCGAACCGTACATCCTACTAAAGCGTTATTTTCTGGTCCATTTCCAAAACTTAAACCAGTCAAAAGGCTCAATTAGAAGAGACCCATCAAAAGGAATGGAGGGAGGGTACCTGTTCTTCCACCAGCTCCAGTGACGAGGACAGTGCTCCGAGACGAATCCGCCATGGCTGCAACAACCGCACCGATTCCAACCCGCTTTCTCGACAATGACAGCGACGAAGATGATGGGCGAGTGATAAAAGTAACACAAAAAGGGGTCTTTGGAAGGCTCCTTAATGAGGAGGAAGAAATAGGTAGGTGTTGGAGAGACTGTGACATCGAACCGTATTTATGACAATGACCTGGACGAGGCGTGGCAGTGGAGACAAAAGGGACACGTGTACACATCCCCATTACGGTAGTTCGCTCAGGCGCATAATGCCATCGGTGAGAGTAGAATCCGGTGACTCGCACGCGGCACCCCCACTCTGTGCGACTCTGAGAGCGAAGGAGAGCCTGCTCCGAATACTTCCGATGCCTCCAACGTCGTAACTGTTAAGCTGGTCCTCGCTGTTACCGTTATTATATTATTATTACGTTTTCGTCTTCTCTTCCGTTTGTCCTCAGATTCTCTTATCCTTTAACCTTATCTGAATTTTTTGTTTGCTTTGTAGGCCGATGGTCTTAGCAATACAGAGGCCCACGATGGCAGAAGGCCCAAGTCATGTCAAACTAGAAGATTGTCCAAAGTGGGGATGATTTTGTCAATGTACATTTTTTTCTTGTGTCCAATGAATAATTATTTTCATAAAAAATAAAAATAAAGAAAGAAAACTAAAAGATATTAAAAAAAAAATCTTCATTGTGTCCAATCCTCCAGTGAATAAAATTCTTTTTATTTTCCTGCCAAGCCAAGCCAAATGAATTGACTTCGTATAACCTTTTTTTTTTTTATATTTTCCTGCCAACAACTTCTCATAGCTTTTCAGAATACATTGATTGCCCAATTTACAACCTTCAAACTATTAAAAACATAGATACCTTTAATAACAAGTAAGCCCAACGAGGCCCAAAAGTGTTATTTCCCCCCCTGTTTTATTCTGTTTCCCATTTTGTCAAGTTAGTTATGGACTGCGCATGTCCGATTCGGGCCCATATATCTGGGCCTGTGTTTAATGGCAGAAGGCCTAGGTAGTCATGTTTTAAAATTTGGAGTGACTGTGATAGATCTCTGAGGTTTTGCAGTTTTGCTCATAATTTGCACTTATAAAGTTATGTATGTAACTAATTAGAAATAAAACTAGAGGGAGGCCCCCTCCTTGCGTGCAGCAGACACAAATTAAAATAATGAATCCGTTTACATCATCATTGGCTTCTTCTTCCTCTTAAAAGAGATTATTGGTCAAATCCGTTATAAAATAATTATTTGGTAAAATAACAATCTTTCCTGAGATTTCTCATTTGTGTAGGCCTCGTCAGAAGTCACCAGTTTTAATGACTTATTCTCTTTCTTTGGCCAAAAAATTAAAAATAAAACGACTTTGTCAAAAGTCAAATTGCTTAGCTTCCAATTTGTAGTTTCTACGAAGATGAATGCAAATTTCTACCTAACTTGTCCTCATTGAATCAATCGTGGATCGATTAATTAATTACTCCTTCCAATCTTTTATGAACAAACACAACTTCGCTGAAATTGTTGTATTATTAACCTGGGGAAGACGTAACGAAATTAAAACAAGACCTTGACACGAATTGGTCATTGTTAAACTATATTTTATATAATGAGATTGATGAGTTCAAATTGCAGAGGAAAAGAAAAGAATCCAGGAGGTGATGGAGGGGAGAGAGTTTGGCAGAATGGAAATTGGCTTCTGCATGTGAATTAAATATTTAAAATAATGGGGGATGCATCAGAGAGACACTGATATTGTAAATTTAAATTAATTAGGTGAAGTAATGTGAAACTTCTTATGTTGTTTTTACTTGGTTTGAGTCAACAGCAACGCAGCTGGCTTCTCCCTCGTCTTAGCTGCACAATTAAACTGTGTGCGTGTTTATTTGGACTAATTCAGCTACAAGATTATATTTAGAGGCAGAGATATAAAGTGACCGTGACATCAGATATATATATATATATATACTTATCCGATCCTTAATATAAGACCTATTTAACTAATTTGATTAGATTAAGAAAATTAGGTAAGTTAGTTAATTATAAGAAATATAACATGTTTTTTCTTAAAACACCATAATTAGCTTTCTTAAAATCCCCTCCTCTCTTCTAGTTGATTATAGTTGAGAGAGTATCTATAAGGATAATTTAAAAAAATTGATAAATATGAGAAATAGATCTTATATTTAAGATTAAAATTAACTCAATAATCAGGTCATATATTAAGGACCGGAGGAGTATATATATATATATATATGGCAAATATTTAACTCATTGGTTAAACTCATTAGTTACCAGTTTCTTCTTTTCATCTAACTCTTAGGATTAATTAAGCAGCTAGGTAGGGCCTAATAATTAAATAAATTAAATGGCCACCACAGCTACTCCCATAATTTAAACCAGTAACGCGAACAGCGTGATAAATGTGGCGACATACTAAACTAGGGCAGGCCCAACACGTCAAATATGTTTCGCAAAAGCAATCACGCAAGTAATTAGTAATATAATTCCATTGAAACTATATCCTTATTTATATATATTTTATGACTTCCATTTAAATAGGCAACACATGTTGAAGACAGGCATAACACATTTCTTTGTCTATATATGCTCCTTCCAGCTCTGAGAGAGACGTGGCCCCATAAGCTCTGGTATTTAGTTGAGACGTACTTGAGAGAATTATTACTTTATGGTCATCAAATAATTTGAGAAATCTAATATTGAATCAATCCAAACTGCTTCATAATACTACCTCTTGATTTAAGAGATAATTAGGAAGTTAGACTTGGTTTTAAATATAAGATTTTAATTCACTTTGTCTTCTACTTTTTTTTTTTTAAAATATCCTTATTGATTGTAAAAAATTCCCACCAAAGAGTATTTGATAAACATTATTAAAGAAAATAGTTTAAAAAAGTCAACATACATTTGTGACTAGTAGCTAACTTAACTAATTTTTTTTTAATATTTTTAAATTATTTATCTAGCTTTTATACTAAGTACAGGAGGTAATATATATGTAAGCAGAATGGAAGGATAAAACCGTAACTGTACACATTACTTGGTTTTGTTAATTACTTTAAGGTACCTACGGGGTTTTTCCATAGAGTCGAAGAGGAGGAAAGGAAAAAGATTTATTGTGTAATACTCCTAGTTGTTATATTTTTATTTGATACTACTAGTATATATTCATCTCCTTCCCTCATCCCTTTGAAATAAAGATCAAGAACGCTATTTGACAGTTCACTTACTAATTTTCTGCTTTGATTTTCTTTCCTCTGCATCAGTCATGTTATAAACATTTTCTTTTCTTAAAAATAGAAAATAAGTTCCCATAAACCTAAATCACTTACATGAACTGATGAATGAAACAAAACTAAGGTCTAACGGCACGGTCAACTAAGAAACTCCTTAGAATATCATTTTCATGCTTTAAGAAACTTTCACATATTTATATTATCTCGTATTATCTAAACTCACATAAAGTAAGTTAAACCAAATACTCCTTAGGTATCATTTTCCTGTCTAAAACTAATAAGGAGAGGGTACTTAAACTGGCAATTCTAAACTCTATATATAAGTTATTATGGGCCCGTTTGAAACAGCTTATAAATAGCTTTTTAATATTGATTTATAGAATACGAGGCAAGTATGTGAGAAAAGTTTTGTCTTAACTTACGTAAAATGTGCTTATAGGGAATTTCTTATGCCCTCCCAAGCAGGCACTATATTGTCTTCCGGACATACTTTCTAATCACTCCTGCAAATTAAAACTTACCACCTTCTAATCAGAATGAAACTTCTGAAGATTAATTTCTTGTTAAAGAAAACTGGCAGAAATTACATTGATGATTCCATAGTCGTGACCTGTAACTCTATTTTAATATTTGGTTACAATTAATTAATGAGAAAAATCTGTTCTAAGTAGATTTTTGTTTGGCTTGATGAAAGGAGCACATTTCCACGTGATAATGGTTACATGTCACGTGATGAAGACAACATGGTGGTGGGGATTTTGTAGTGTGAGATTGCTTTCTGTCAAATCCATCGTTTTCTTTTTAGTTAATTCCATGGCTTATTATATTATATTCATCAATAATCAACAATTTTTGAGAGATTTCAATCCTCTCCCATTATTTTATTTTAGTTGCGTGACATAAGATGCAAAATTATTGTACTATTATTCATTATAAAAATTAATCTACGACTTTCTCTTTCATTCCATCATTGTTGCTTTCAGGAAACAAATTAATACCCATCCATTTCTTTTAACGGGAGTGTACTTTCATTTTTAAATATGTAAGACACATTTTATTTTTTTCTCAAATATTTATTATATTTTCCACTGATATTCTTACTAAGTATGACATTTCTCTTGTATTATCTTGCACATACAAGATAATTTTCCACTGATATTCTTACTAAGTATGACATGATTCTCTTGTATTATCTTGCACATACAAGAGGAGACAGATTTCTTGAGGATATTATTACTGCAAAAGAAGTATGTCCGCTCCCTGCTCAAAGATTTTGACTAAGTTAACCCACTTTTCTTAATGTTGGGAAAGTAAATATTTAATTGTAATAAGAAGAAATTGATCCGATACGAATCTATTGTGTATATTATTGATTGATTGCGTGATGATAAGAATGTTTCTTTATTAGTCTGGAGGATTCATAATCCTTTGTCAGAAATTTTTAAAGGAAGTGGATGCTATGTAATTCTTAGTTTGAACTCTACATATCTCGCAATGAATAATTTAGAGGCAAATATAATATGAAATGAACCATAGTAATTAATTAATTATTGATTTTAGTTATAAAGTAATAAACAATTTATTACTTTCGACTTTAATTAGGATGTTTTCGCGAGACAACTCAGTCGAAACGTTTTAAAGGTTTTGCAGCACACACAGTACACAGACTATAATTAAGCATATAATTGCTCGTTCTTTCTTATTTAACCTTTAGTTTTATAACTTTAATCACTTACAATTTTTTATCAGTAAATTTCATTTCAATTTAAAACAGTCTCTCTCTGTCTATACGTTTGATAATTTGTGTGTTGTCACTTGCAAGAAATGAGATATATTAAATCATCGATAGGACAAAATAAGCCAGTAAGGAGCGTACGGAACAAGCAAAGGAGTTGTCCATTTCTAGAACAAGGGGTCTGGCCACTTTGTTCAATTCTCCACCAGATTTTCATTCTTTATTTTTAATAATTTCTTTTAAAAGTCCATTGTTTTTATATTCACAACTGAGGCTGAAATTTTTTAAAATAAATTTCGATTTCAATTGCGGAATTTTCCATATCAACGTTTATCATTAGATACTCTGTACTTTCCTCTTCAAGAGTTCTTCATTTGCTTAGCCTATTAGTTTAATTACCATCCTGACAAAGGAAGGCCAGAAAGGAGCACTTTGCTTATTTTGGAATATTATTAATCAACTTATTATAATCTGAGCAAAGCATCTACATCATTTTCTACTGATTACTACGGCATAATTATCTGGGGAATCTCCAAGGGCTTCTTCTCCTTCTTTCTTCTGATGGTTGGATTTTCCCTTTTTTTTTTTTTTGGGTGGGTTTGATTTTAACATGATCAATGACTGAGAAAGAGATTTGATTGCACAGAAGAATGATTCTTAGGCAGTAACGGAAGTCTCCACAGCAAGCTTTCCAGGGTATGCAACTTCTGATTTTATATCAGCTTCCCATAGCTCAGGCACTGCCTCCCTAAGGTTATGAATGCTTTCTAACGCATAATCTGCTCCTTTTGCCCTCTGAGATGCACCGACCTGCATAAAATTCTCAATAATTTAGACCCTCAAAATAAGTAAATAATTATATAACACTTTGTCACAAATATCTTTCTCTGCATTATGTTCTGTCTCAGTCCCTACCTGTACGGTGTGAAGGCCCAGACGCTTTCCAGCTTGAATGTTCCGGACACTATCCTCAAAGAACAACTGCAAGTGAAAGGCACAGTGTTAGCAAACAGAAACCTTCAACTTTTTTTCCTTGTAAACGGTTATCAAAGCCTTTTTCTTTTCTTTTTTTTCTTTGGTTGGGTTCTTACAGTTCTTTGTGGGTTTAGATTTGCAATCTTGAGAGCCAATTCAATGGCATTTTCTGATGGTTTGCAGATGACTGGTGTCTTGGGCAACACTGAGGTGTCAGCATTGGGTTGAGCAAAGTGGCCTATAATGTCAAATATTTCAGATCCATTGTTGCTTGTTGTGGGACTTGTGTTGGTCTCAAACTCATCTTCATCTTCTGTAACATTATTCTTGTGGATGGGATTGAGGGTCTCAAAGCATATAATCCCTTCAAAGCAATCCTCTAATCCAAGTCTGCTCAGTGCCTTCGCTGCGTGGACCTTGTCCGCATTTGTGAATATCTGCATAATAAATGAAACAGAGAAATTTAGGACCGTCAGAACCATCCTATAAAACAACATTAACATAAGGAGTCCTCTTATAATTAGATCACGTTCAGAACTTTGGATGGTTGTTTGTAAAGTAGTAATTACCAGTTTCCTATATGGCAGGCTCAGCAGAAGGTTCCTCAGAACTGGGTCTGGTTTCAAGTTCTCATAAGGCAATCTTCCATGGACAAAACTGCAATAGCAGAATTCCAAAAATCAACATCACCCTTTCAAAATGTACAGACAAATTGTTGAAATGGACACAAACACACGATTTGAAGTGTTCATTCTAATCTAAATTGTCACTGGTGTTAAGTGCATGTGGGGGGAAAAAACTAAAAAAAGAGAAGAGGTCCTGTACCTGTGATATTCATCATAGTCGAAGTCATATCCAATTGCCTATATTGAGCACAAAACAGATCAAGCAAGGTGAGTCAAATTGCTGTGAATAAAAGAAACCATTTTGAGGAAGCGAAATGACGAGCAAAAATGAACCGTACCCTAAGACCAGCCATGGTTGTCCCATAGTTTCTGTACAGAAGGTTGGACAAGTCATCAATCTTGCTTCTGTCTATGCCAAGCTTCTCAACCATATAATCTACAACAATGGTAGAAATCAAACACGGGTCATGGAGGTGAAACAGGGAGAAGTGCTATATGGAAAAAGATTTCTTAGTTATTATAATCATACCTTTGATGTTCTTGAGGCAGGATTTTGCAAGACCAGTGCTAAGAGGATACAAAGTATCATCTAAATCTGCAACACGAAATCACAGTTATAGTCATGTCCAAAACAGTGAGAACTTCGTTCATTAATTCATGTTCTGTTTTAAGGGCTTTACCAAAAAGAAGGCAATCGTATTTCGGTCTCTGAGCCTGTCTGAAGTGACCCTCGTACTCCATTTCAGACAGAAGAGAACCTAAAAGAAACAGAACAATACAGCAGTGAATAATAAGTCCCCATGAAGAAAAAAAGCATGAAGCAGCTCAAATTTATATAGGAAACTCAGATTCCCTTTGTTTCTTAATCCTCATAACTTCATGGATTTTCGGATAAAAAAGAACAAAAGAACTAGTGCCGACTCGGATTAGCACCAAAAGAAGCAAAAGATATTCGAAGGCAGACAATGAAGACGACTGTTTAAATTAGATGTGATAAAGCTTCCTCAGTTTTCTGAGTGGACAATCCGTAGCAAGCGAAATAGATTGGTTAAAAACACTTCATAAAATTTTCAACAAAAAAAAAAAAAGACAAGAAGCCCATCATAAATTTGATCTGAAAAGAGTTCTTTACACATAGCCTTCCCCTTTCCAAAGTGCTTAAAAATTCAGAATTACAGAAAGGAAAAAAATTGAGGCTTTGCGGAAAGAACAAAAGCCAGATTCTAAAGAATTAAATGTACAAATGGACGAAAAAACAGGGGTCCATTTCAAAATGACAGAATAACTCAACAAAATTCCTGGTGAACCCCAAGAACTGACTAGAAAATCTGTAACTTTTTCGAAATGTCAGATGGTATCTGATACGGGTACTGGGATATATGCTCCGAGACATGAAGGTGAACCCAAGAACTGACTAGGAGCAGAAGATTGGAGAGAGGGACACAACGGTAATGAAGGAAGGAAGAGGCAGAAGGGGGAGGAACAAGGGAAGCACAAGGGGGCTTTATATAGAAGAGGGTTTGCTTCTGGGCAGAGGGCGTCCTTGTCTTTGATTGTGAAATTGGCATTATTTTATTCAATTACGTCCGGCGACCAATGAGGTTCACACCATTATTTTACTCTCAATTTAATTTGTCCAAGGAAGAGACTGCTATTTTTATTTGTCAAGTTTTTTGACTGCATTCGAGAATCAAAATCTGTTTTCACATCTTCAATTTTGGAACTCATGTCTCTTAGTGAAAAAATAAATAAATAAGTATTAGTAGTAATTAATTTTCATTTTTATCATTCAGCATTTAAAAAAAGTAGTACTCCTTCTTAAATATAAAACATATATATTTATAACCGGAAGAGTACTATAATATTTAGAGGTCAACAATATAGCAAAAATAGTCCAATATTAATGAGGCCAAAAAAAGTCCATTTTGAATAAGAAAATAGATCAAGGGTTGGAAACACGCAAGTATGTTTTCATAAGTTGGGATTTGAGAAAAGTATCCCCTTGCCCGCATATGCTTTATTCTGTCATTATTAAGTCATTATTTGTATTATGAAATGGTAAGAAGAAACAAAGCGAAGGAATGCAATGAATTAGGCAGGAACCAAGGGAGCTGCATACCCTTTTTGATCAACTCGTGGATCCTAGACTTAAGGGAGGTTTGGGTGACACCCAAACCATGTTTTGGAGATTAAGTCACCCAAACACCACCAAAACCATAGTTTTGGCTCAAAACCATGGTTTTGAAAAAAGCAAAAAAATTTTGCTTTTGGAGAAAAAAGGGAGAGTGTGAGAGCCTATAGGATATATATCTTGTTATTTTTTTTATAAACATATTTTTTATTAAACATATTTAATATTATATTTTATAAATATATATACATATTAATTATATTATATCTTATGTATTATAATTATGTTGGTAAAAAATATATTATTAACAATTTTATTCCTTCAAATTAAAATATATCATAAAATCTATTTTTTCTATAATTATCACATTAACTTATGTCTTTTTTTTAGTAATTTGTATATATAAAAAGTGCTTCTGATAACAACTATCCAAACACTCTCACTTCTCAGAATAATTTTTTTACAAAATCTATTCTTCACAGAATCTATTCTCCTCAGAATCTATTTTCCAGAATCACTTTTCCAAACCACGGTTTGGTTTCATCCAAACACACCCTTAAAACACATGTTCTTTTCTTTTAATCATTTTAGGTAACGTAAACAATGATAATACGCCCGCTAAGAATAATTCCATATTTTGAATATACGTATGTGTGTGTATATGTATCGTTGGATTTACGCGTATTTTCTTTTTAATTATGAAAACTTAAGCGTACTAAATCATGGCAGAAAAAAGAGGAGAAGTTACGCGTATTCGAAGAAAGTTAGCTGGTAGCGTCAAAATGATGAAGGCAAATGGAAGATGGAGTGCTCTAAATGTTCATTAAATTGCTATAAATTGGATAAGAAACAAGCAATATATATGGGGATGCGAAAATGCGTGTGCGTACGTTTGGATGTTTTGGAGAGCTCAAAAAACAAATGAATTTAGAAAAAATTACAATCAAATCTCATAAAAAGAAAAAAATTACAAAATAAATCTTATAAGTTGTTATTATACTTATTATTATAGCTATTCAGATTTTATTAGAATTTTTTAGTAATTTTTTTTTTGTGAAATTTGATTGTAATTCTCTCTCTCATAATTTTATTACTTGGCCACACGAATAATACTCTTCCGTAAGTAAATAAAATGTATATAAAAACTGATTAACTAATTCGAATAGTTTAAGAAAGTTTGTTATGTTAGTTACTTGTAATAAATAAGTGTTGTCTTTCTAAAATACCCTTACTACCATATGTATTACCTTAAATTACTATCTGATAAAATATTTAATATTCGCAATTACTATAAAGAATACATTAAAAAAAATAAATAAATATGAAAAATAAAATATATTGAGATTTTATATTATAATTAAATTAAAAATAAAACTAGTTTTTATTTAATACGGAAACTATTAATTTCAAGAGAAAATTGCAAATAAAGACCCCCTAATATATAAAATGGCAATTAGAGACCTTGAATTTGAGAAATTGCTCACAAGGACCCGGTTCCAATTTGCAATTATGAAATCATGACCAAATTACCAAAATACCTCTCTTTAAATTTTTTTTTAAAGAACACCACTGCCTCTCCGAAATCCGACCGTCGGCGCTGGAGCTCCGACACCTCGGCTGCCAGCCGCTGGAGCTCCGATGCCGGTGGCGGCCGGTTCCAGCCATTGCCGGCGGCCTTCCTTTGTTTTTTTTTTGTAACTGTTTTTTTTTAAATAGGGATTTGATCCCCTAACCTAATGTTTCCCAAAATTAGGAATGACCATCAACCAACAAATTTTTGCTAACATTATGATACAAAAAAAATATAAGTTAACTCATTTACTCTTGTTCCAGGTGATAACAACAATACATTTAGAAATAACAAGTTCTGATTGTAAAATAACGCGTCTGGAATGAAAATTTAACAATATGTTTTTTTTATAACAAACAAATTTTGTTGCAGGTGATAACAACAATAAATTTGAAAATAACAAGTTCTGATTATAAAATAACAAGTTGGGATTAAAATTTAACAACATGTTTTTTTATAATAACACATTTGTTTCAGGTGATAACAACAATACATTTGGAAATAACAAGTTCTGATTATAAAATAACTAGTTTGGAATTAAAATTAACAACACCTTTTTTTTATAACAACACATTTTATTCAAAGTGATAACAACAATACATTTGAAAATAACAGGTTCTGATTATAAAATGAAACTAGTTTTTATATTAAATACGGAAACTATTAATTTCAAACTGTTAATACGTGTCCTTTGTAAGTGTTTTTTCCCCCTTCTCGAAAAGACGTCATAATCTTGATCATCTCTTAAGTCTCAACTCATTTAAATTTTTTGTTTAAAAAAAAAAAGATGCTTTTATAAATATATATAAAAAGAGGGATGGTGTACCATCTCAACTTTTTGCCACGATATCTTTACCATAACACATGGTGTATATTCAATCTCCCTCTTTGATTGATTCCTTCCGCTTTTGTTTTTCTCCCTTCTTCATATGGAAGGAACCTCTGGGCGAGACAGTATGATGCCACGTGTGGTGTGAAGACGGAGGATAAGTCTTAGCCAATTAACCGCAGGACCACAAGTCCAACAATTATATATATCAATTAAATTACACTCACATCTTCATACATAAACGCTGACGATTCTTCAAACCTTCTTGACATGGTGGAGTCCCAATAATTCAAACCGCCCACTATTATCATAAAGAAAATAAATAAATCACAGAGCCACCTAAATGCATGCTAAATCATAAAATCTACATATTTTCCCTCATTTACTAATCTACTACCCCGGTTCTCGTTATAAGAGCTAGTTAGCTAATTTGAGGAGATTAAAAAAATAAGTTAAGTTAATATTTATAATCAATAGATGTTATTTTTTTAAAATATCCTTACTAATCATGTATTGGTTAGAACTATCATTATTAGAAGATTTTTAAAAAAAATATAAATATGAGAGACAAAATAAACTAAGGTCTTATATTTAGAAATAAAATAAAAATAAAATAAAATTATATATGAAAAACCGGATATAGTATTATGTACTTTGGATGTTGCAGTGTTTACAAATCAAGTTTTCGTGGAATATTGTAGGGTTTTTTTGGAAGTTGCTTTTGCCCAAAACACATATAATATTTTCTAAGAAAATAAAAAAATAATTAAAACTTGAAAGAAAAAGGGAAATTGTCTGAGTTGCGTGGGGGACACCTGTTGTTCCGAAAGGAACGAGCTTTGATGAGGAAAAAGTGCAATGATATTGTACGACACACAGCTGCATACAGCTCAACAGCATCGCCACCCTCTCACTCTCACTCCAAGTTACTGGCCCCGGTGAAATTCTCTTTCGCGGCGGTAAATGCCGTCCAAAATATCAACCCATTCCCCACCGTCCACAGATATTTTGGGAACATTTTGTTCACATTCACAATGAAACGATTGCGCGGAAATTAATTACTCCCTCCTATCTTATAAAACTCATTTTTTAATATATAAAATGAATCTTATATTAAAAACCGGATGTAAAAATATTTTCTTATAAATGAATCGTTCGACCTATATGTCAATCTTAGGCAAACTTTATTGGGGTGATATCAGTGAAATTGGAAAAATTAATGTTGACAAAAACAAAAAACTTACAGAAAAATGAGATATCTGGATTTCAATCCCACTTATGATATTAAA